CTCCTGCCTGTGGGAATGCTCTATAAAGTCAAAGTGTACGAAACAGACCAGAACATTGTGGTCTATAAAGGAGAAGAAACGATTTCTGAGAGGTGAAATGAGCCGAAGCTCAACTGGTTGGAAACTGACACCTGCTCACGTCAGTGACAGCATCAGCCCTGCTCACCTGTGTGCTGAAGTGAAGCCTTGGTTACGTTCTGCAAAAGAACCAACCAACGTAATTCTTCTGCCAGAAATCTTGCAGCAGTTTGGGTTATCACAATTCATTGATACATCTGCCTTTATCCAAGACATTCTGATTTCATAAAACCAGATTGCTGAGCTGATGTGCAATCTGCAATTGTACCGTGCTAAATAAAGCAGCTCTCCAGAGAGGAGGTGGCTTGGTAGTGTGTATGTCTTAGAATCATAGAACAGCTTAGGTTGGAGGGACCTTAAAGATCATCTAAGTACAAACCCCCGGCCATGGGCAGGGCTGCCCCCCACCAGCTCAGGCTGCCCAGGGCCCCATCCCACCTGGCCTTGAGTGCCTGCAGGGATGGGGCACCCACAGCTCTCTGGGCAGCAGCGCCAGCGCCTCACTGCTCTCTCTGTGAAAAATGCCCCCGACATCTAATCTAAATCTCCCCTTTTTAAGTTTAAAGCCATTTTCCCTTGTCCTGTCACTGTCTACCCATGTAAAAAGTTGACCTAAATACGGCTTATTGGCCCATATTAGGGTGCTTTGAGACTATGCTCACTGTAGACTCCCAAAAGCTTTTTGGCAGAAGCAGCAAGATAAGGTGTGCTTTTGTTTAGCAATTCTATAGGAACAGCATGAAGCTCTCCTTTTCTGGAGGAAGCAGCCAGTGAGTGCTCCCACTGCAGCAATCAGCAGCTGTGTGGTGTTTTCACCATCAGAACCCCATACTGGAAAGCTCATGTAGATACTCAGTGTGCACCAACCACTGGGGCTGCTGCTTCCACGGCCTCCCGCAGCTGGGTGCTTACAGAGGATGGGGCTGTGACTGAGTGCCAGCCAGTTCTTCTGAAGGTTCCTGAAATTGTAGGCAGACTTGAAATCAAAGAGCTGGAAGAGGAATGCATGTAAAACCAGTTGGGGAACAACGGTGCAGTTCAGCTGGCTGCGATGAGGGCCTCCCACCTGCCAGCCCGGGCAGGAGCAGCTCTGTGTGATTCCCCATCACATGAGCAATGTGCCAAGTGGTACTGAGAGTCATTGGGAGGTATGGCCACAAAGAACAACTAAATGTATGTAATTTAAAAGGTGATACCCAGAGTAATAATTCATGAGCTCTACAAGGAAGTTTGCGGCTGAGTAATGACAGCAAACAGCACCACTTGGAAAGGTTTAATGAAGCTTGCCTAATAGTTCACCTTTGGCTGGAATGTGCTGGTTACAGCTCTGGAAAATACTTTGCTTTCTTTTAAAGTGTGGCTGCTAGGAAGAGGATGGTCCTGTGCCTTCATCCATTATTGCTCAGATGTTGAGGCCAGGCGTGGCTCAGGGGCCCGGTGACCTCATCCTCTGCAACAGCAGAGCTGCAGAGCTCTGGTGCTGCCTCCTGTCCTCCTAAGGGCAGCGCTTTGGGAGCTGAAGGCTCTGCAGCAGTTGTGTCTGACCCACACAGCTGCACAGCCTGGCTCCAGGTGTGCACCCAGCGCTCACAGCGCACACACAGCAGAGTGCCACGGGCACTGCGTGGCTGAACCCAGGGCACAGGGGGTTGGCAGGGCATGTATTAGAGAACAACTGTGAGCAAGCATGAAGCACAGGAAGAGTAAGATTTAGTCAAACATCTCTGACCAACACCGTGAGACCACACTGAGAGCTGCAGCCACTGCCACCAAACCATGCTGATGTGTAGCTTCACAGCAAGGTCACACATCCCAATGGTTTGATGGCTTTGTTGCCTTCTGTTTTTAATGTTGTAAAATATTAAAAATTAAAATAAGTTTTATTAGTTATGTACATTAACTACCTTGTATAGTTAATGAGGGCTGCTCCAAAAGTAATGCCTCCTTTTTATGATGTCAGCCCACCACATCAGAGGTGCAGCAGTAGAGGTGGAACCTTCCCACCAAGATCCATTGCATGTTGCTGCCGTGTGACAGATGGCAGCAGAGGGGCAGTCTGACACAATGGTGTCTGACGTGGAAGTGAGGATGAAGCAAAGGTGTGGAATTGAATTCCTCCATGCAGAAAAAATGGCACCCAGTGGCATCCATCAATGCTTGGTGAACATTTCTGGAGACCAAAGAGTGGATGTGAGCAGAGAGGGGTGGGCGGTGTGTTTCAGCACTGGTGACAGTGGTCACTTCTGCTGGTGCAGGTTTTGTCATGTGCAGCATGCAGCTCTTGTTCATTGCTGGTGAAAATGCACAGCTGGTGGTGGTGCCTATGTAGAAAAGCAGTGTTCTGTAGCTGAGAATGTGCTCTATTCAATAGTGTTACTGTGCTCTTTGCATCTGATGTAGTTTCCATGCAAATAAGTGGAAGGCATTATTTGCAGTGCAGCCTATGTATACAGCCCCTGACATTTCCTCTTCACTCAGTGTGGCCCAGGGAAGCCAGAAGGTTGGACAGCCGTGCTCTGCAGCATCACACAGGTGGGAGTGCTCATATCTCAGTTGAAAGGGACACTGTGCTGCTTAGGGCACTGCAGCCCCCCATTTCTCACCACGTGGGACACGGCAGCCTTCGTTCTGGTTGGTGCTGTCCTGGGAGGCTGTGCCCCTTCTCTGGGTTCTGCTGTTCTCTCATTCTCTGGTGCAATGCCAGCCAGAGATGTCAGGCTGGCTAACCACTGTGATAAATGGTGCTGTGTGATTCACAAGTCCTTTGGATCTTCAGTACATCATGGGAACCCAAACATACCACATGGTGGCTTTCTCAGAAGTGTAATGCAGCTATTGACAGTGATGACAATAAACAAGCACATGAGTATGGCAATGTACTATTTTTAGTGTGAAATTGGGTACTGGGCCAGAAAAAAATAACCTACATTTGTTTTACTGCAGTACAACACACTGACAAAGTCCCGCAATAACTGGGGAATTTGTATCTGTTGCTGCACTGCATGTCCAGGAAGTACTCAGGTTCTTCTGTCTGATCTTGGGTACCAGAAGAAACTCCTCCAAAATAGTGTTTGGGCACTGGCACAGCTGCCCAGGGGGTGGTGGGGTCACTGTCCCTGGAGGTGTTCAGGAAATGTGGAGATGTGGCACTGAGGGACACGGTCAGTGGGCAACATTGGTGGTAGGTGGGCAGTTGGACCTTAGGGTTCTTCTCCAACCTCAATGATTCTATGATCTGTCAGGTTTAAATTGCAGCAGAGCTGGAGTGATAGAAATAAAGAAGGGACTGGGAAATGGTGTGGGTGCCAGGGGCAGGCGGTGTTGGGATTGTGATGCCCCAGGGGTTCTGGTGCATGCCTTCTGCTCATAAGGGACTCAGTTTTTTCAGGAATGTGTGGAAAGGAATGCAGGAAAGTCTGTGGGAATCAACCTCCAAATTCATAGGCTGGGTACGGCTGTATAAAATTAGCTAGCATTGTTAAACATTAATCTGTGCTGTGACTTAGTTACTGAGTGATGAAATTGGCCAAAGGAGAGCTGTTCAGGTGATGGGGGTGTCTGGGACAGCAATTAAAATTTCAAATCCAGTCCCAGGAGAGCTACTGTGGGAGCATGACTTCCAGCTTCAGCACACAGAAAACACGAATAACGGTATAATGATGGCAAGATCAGAAACATGCTGCGCCGTATTTAGCAGGGAATGAGTGGAAGGTCCCCCTCCTGCCTTCCTGCCCCACACAGGGGCAGTGTTGCGGGGTGTGGGCAAGTACTGGGGCTGAGCCAAGTTCAGTGCCACTCCCAAGGATGTTGCTTGCATTTCACTATAGCCCCAACAATGACCGCATTAATGAATAACCCACACAGTGCGTCCAATGGGGCAGCCCAGCTCTTCCTCCTGCAGCTCCAGGCTCATGGCGTGTGGTTCCGGGCCCTGTGCACAGTGGGGAGGGCAGTGCTGGGGAGCAGGGAGCAGGCTTTGCCCTTGCACTGTGTCCTGTGTGCTCAGAGAGGGAAGGAACATGTGGTCGCACCACATGTGCAGGGATGCTGATGTGTAGCACTGGTTGGGGCATTTTCTGATGTTTGCATGCTTTGTCCTGCTATGTGATGTTCCTTTTACTGCTGTGGGTGTGCGTTTCCCTAAGTGCCATAAAGCCATTAGGATGGGAGGGTCAGCAGCCTATCGCTGGGCCGGAGGCAGGAGCTGTTTGTTCCCTCCCTGCAGTGGGGCTTGGGAAACTCAATGGCTGCTCTCAAAGTGATGCAGAAGTGGGCAGGGGTATGGCATGGCCCTTCCACTCTATGTGTTCTGCCCTTGGAGCTGGGGCTGCTGCTGCTGGGAGTGATGGGGCAGTGGGGAGCAGGAGCTGGAGCTGCTCCTTGTTCTGCATGGGTGGAAATGGAGCAAGGAAGGTTAATGTTTAATCCTGATGGTCAGGTTGCTCTCAGAATGAGTGATGCACTTCCTCTTGCTGTATCGAGGGTGAGAAATAGCAGTAGAAGGTTACGTCTGCATTCCAAGAAATTGGGGTTGTTATGATTTCTATGAAGCACTGAGCTTCCCTGGGTGGCATGAAGCTGCAGCAATCAGGGGAAGGGTGGAGAAGTGCTTTGGAGCTTTGTTGCTCACAGCTGCAGCTGTTCTAGTAATGCTTAAACAGCAGGAAATCTAGGACAGGAAAATGGGGGCATTTTGTGGGAGAAGGGGCTGCTGAAAGCATGAGGGGTTTCTCATTCTCTGCACATAGGGAACGGTGCAGCCCAGTGCTCAGCATCCCAGCCTGCACCCCACCCTACACCTGGTAAGAGGTGTTGCCACAAGGTTACCTGGAACGGATTTGATACCTATTATCTGAGCTGTTATCTGACCAGATAGTCATATTGACAGGAAGATTAGAATAGAAAGGCAGTCTATTGCACTAAGTAGGATTTTATTGAGTGCTGTGTGCTTCTGTAGCAGAAGGTATAACATTATTCCAGTTACCTGGGAGCTGCTAATTAATCGGCCTGCAAAACCGAAGGCAACTGTAGTAGCTGGGCCACAAAGGTGTATTTCAGTGAAATTCTGTGAAACATTCCACAAGTGCGTGGATCACTCCATGCACAATGCAGTGGAAATGTCATCTGCAATACTGTGCTTGATTTTGTTCTAGGGACGGCCAACCTTACAAAGTGGCCAGCCCACGCCAGGGCTGGGAATAAGTGGAAATCAGCAGGGCTCCACCACAGCCTAACTATGAGAGGGAGGAACATCTCTTCTTTGAGGCAAGCCGTGGCTTTTCAGACGAAACCTGAACAAAAGTGGACTCGAGTGAGATATGTCCGCTTCAGAGCAACAAGATCCTCAGTGGGGAGCAGAGGAGCGTTGTGGGGAGGCAGCCAGGCTTTGGAGTCCGCAGGGCTGAGGGCTGAGTGCTGGGTTCAAGGACAGGTGAAGGCAAATTCCCCTTAAACGTGGCCATGAGCTGCAGGGGCACTGTGCTGGTTGGGGCTGGAGCCTGGCCGTGTCCCAGCCAGCAAACACTGCTCAGTGCAACAGCCAGCTTTTATTCTTTGGTTTATTTAGATTCACTTCAGAAAAAAAAAAAAAAAAGAAATAGTAATTACTTTCCAGAAGTTTGAAATTTCCTTCATAAACTCCATCCATATAAAAATACAAACGATAATAAAATCAAGACATTCAGTGGCCCATCCAATCTCATCCTGCAGCAGAAACTACTACTGATTAAAAACAAAAACAAAAAAAAAAGGAGAACAAAAAAAAAACCCCACCCACTCCACCATTCCAGAGAGCCAGAACCAAACCAAGGGAACTTACCAGGACACAGAACAACTCTGCCCTGCCTGTGGCTCACAGACCTCTCTTCCAGCTCCTCAGCACACACCAGTATTAGGATGAGCAGAGGGCCTTTCCCTTCTCTTGAGCATTTTCATGCTTTTTTTTTTTTTTTTTTTGTGCTTCACAGGACCCCAGGAGCTGAGGAAAGGATTAACCCACCCAGTGCCCCTGGTTATAAGGGGTCTGCCCTCCTCAATCAACTTCTCCAGCTGTTCTGATCAGAGTGATCTCTGACTTGCTAATTTTGCAGCGTGTGCTGGCCCCGGGTGAGGGGAGTAATGGGAGATCAGCTCTGTGGTCATAAACCCTTATAATCTAATGTAGAAATACAGTTATCATCTTAATATGCATAAGAAGTGAGTGATTTTCCTGAGTAGATCAGCTGCCTGCCCTCCCACCTGTGGGTGAGGAGAGGAGCAGCACAGCTGGGTCATCTCCTCTCCCCATCTCCTAAGAGAGCAGTTTGCTTGTAGTGAGGAGCATCAGCAGCTGAGTGATGGCGATGAAGAAGAAGCTGCTCTGGATTGCGGAGACGGAGTCGGTGGTTGTCGAGGGTGTGGTTGGATCTGTTTGTGGAACTGAAAGAAACCCCCAGGGTAGATTAGAAGTGCAGAGGACCAGCTACAGACCTACTTGCTGTCATTTCTCAGAAATGTGTGTCAGACCTGCCGTACAGAGTGGGATGCATGAATATATCCACTGATGTGAATGGAGAATCATCAAGTTAGGCTTGAGGCTCCTGGGGGCAGGGGATCCCCTGGACTACAGAAACATTACCAGTGATGGCAAGCCACAATTTCTACTTCACTTCTGTGTGACAGAGAGAAGAGGGGATAAAGTCTGTGCCAATACTTGCAGAAATATCCTTCTGCACTTAGAATCATAGAATCAGTAAGGTTGGAAAAGACCTGTAGGATCATCCAGTCCAACTGTCCACATACCAACACCACTGTCCACTAAACCGCGTCCCTGCGTACTTCACCTGCCTTTTCCTTAAAGACCTCCAAGTTTGGTGACCTCACTGGCAGCCCGTTCCAGTGCCTGACTGCTCTTTTGGAAGGAAAATTTTTCCTCATATACAACCTGCAACTTGTCTGTGGCTGTTTAGTGTCCCTTAAAGTTGAAAATGTTAGGAAATGTTCAAGTTCAGCAATAATCCTGAAGACCTTCTTGCCACTCTGGTGTCTTTGCCTTGTCTCCTGACTACTGGAGAAATGGGAAACCCAACACCACGGCACATTGCTCAGGGCACTGCTCACCCCACTGTGGGACCACCCCACTGCACCCTATTTATTTACCTTCCTGCAGAGTCACACTCTTGAACTCGGTGGAAGTGTTGTCAAAGATTATGTATACCCTATGGAAGGAGGAAAGAGAGGAAAAAGGGCATGAAGAACAGATTATGAGATGGGATGTGTATTGTGACCACCTGTTTCTTGTAACAGCAGTGTTCCTTGCAATCATTAGAGTAACGCGCTCTTGCATTCTTCCTTTTGGCAGATAAGGCCGTTCAGGTTTCCTATGGTTTCCTTTGGCAAATATTTCCACTGATGCAGCTCCATTAGTGTTCATGGAAATAAGGGGTGTTCAATCCCTTAATTTCCATTGAACTAATTTACATCCCTATTGATGTGAGGAAACCAGCAGGCTGGCAGTGGAGAGACCTCCAGATCTGGCTTTGCTGGAAATATTTCCTCGGTATTCTCAAGTGAAAATCTGGAGCAGGCACAAGGGTTTGTCACAGCTGCTGCTCTGGGGGTGGGATCCTGACTGTGGGCATTACCAGGAGCTGGCACAGGAAAGTTCTATCCCAGCTGGATAATCAAAGGTGGTCATAGTGTTACCTTATTTCCACGGAAGATATGTTACTGCTTGGAGATGTCCAGTTTGCTGTTGCCAACAGATCTTCGGAGGCATTTAACATTGCTGTCTCAACATCACTGCAGTTTAGCACGACTGTTAAGTTCCATGTTCCTGCAGTGGTATTTTCAGGGGACAAGGCTTGAAGTAAATACATGGTCACATTTCTGTCAGCAGTGTGGTTTCCTTCATCACTTATCGTAACTGCAAAGAGAGCAAGGGAGACAAGGTAAGTTGTCTGTCCTGTAGGACAGCTATCTATCTCAGATCCCCTGCCTTCAGGGCTTTCAACCAAGGGAGTGTTTGCTGGCACAGGGCTCTCTATGTGACACAGAGGCACAGGGAGAATGGTGTCCCCCTGCTAAAGCAAGAAGAGCCCCTCACCTCCCCCCTCCTCCTAAAAGAGGGATCTCTTCAGTCCCCATCTGCACTCCCTGCTATGGAGGATGACGACACCAAACCAAACCACAGCTCCAGTGAGGAAACCTTTTCTGGCTCCTACGCAAATGGCAGGGGTGGAAAATGCGCAGGGGATGAACTGGTGAGCAGCCCACAGCTGACTGTGCCATCCCCACCCTGTCGCTTTCCCCACGTCTCCATCCCAGGTTGCTGATTCACGGCTGTGACAAGTCTGCGCAATGCTGCTGTGCACCACACTGCTACTGCGGGCAGCAGTGGGGCTGTAAGCACACGGAGCAAGGGGAGACCTGCCTGCCAGCATTCAGCTGTGTACAGCTGTGTGTCCCACATGGCTGTAGCCCTCCTGGCCCTCAGAGTCCTTTGGGTGAGAGTGGCTTCAAGTGAAACCACTCAGGACTGCCAGAGATAGAGGAGATGGTGTGAGATGGCAGTGTCAGTCCCAAATCCTCCACTCAAAAAGAATCAGAGCTCGAAGTAACAGCTGTAAGCAAAACCCTCTCCTGTGAAAAATGCAGCCACCTGCAGTGGTGCTCCCTGGGGAGAGGCACGAGGGAAGCTGTGCCTGTCCATCCCAGCAGAAAAGGAAGGGCTCAGGGTGTCCTTCTTTCCCTGCTCTCAGCGTTTGGATTTCTTAACCTCAAGGCAAAGGGATGCCTGTTGTCAGGTCTGGGAAGCAGGGCAAGGTTGCCATGTATGCTGGGACTGAATCTCTTACAGGATTAAAAGCCATTTTCTGTGATTGATGCTGAATGTGTGTCAACTGCAAAGCAACATCTTTTTTGTCTGTAGAGCCATTACTGCCAACAAGGGCAAAACTCAAGGAGGAAAGGGAACAAAACCACAAAGCAGTACCCCTCAAAATTCTGTGTTTTTGAGCCCTTCGTGTTTTTTGGCCAAAAGGTTAAGGTGGAAAAAACACCCAAGGAAGGAAAGAGAATTTGAGGCTAATTGTATAGACATGGAATAGGAATAAACAGGGGACAAGTAAGAGAGCTATCTCCTGCCTGAAGTAAAGAAAGACCACCCAGGTCTGAGATTAGACCACCCAGGTTCTGAGCACATCTAAGAACAGCTTAAGATTTAAGGATCCCACAGGGTTAGGGGCAGCAAAGGAGGCACAGTGGGATGGAAGATGCTTACCCTGGTAGTTTGTGTTGGCCATGTACTCCTTGGGCGTCACGGTCACTGAGAAATTGCTCTCAACTGAGAGATCCTTGACAAACTCACATCCTTCCATCTGCAGGTACGCAGGGACAAGCAGAGTCCCGAAGAGGAGGAATTGCAGCAAGAAGTGAGCTGCCATCATCCTCTTGGATGTCCCTGCTTCATGCACCTGGGAGCCGAGAAAGCCTGACATTTCCCAGCCCATTTATATGGAGATCTTGATGAGGTAAATGCAAATATTTCCCCCTCCCCATCCAGCTTGTTGTACACACCCCTGGTGGGAGGTTTCTCGTGGTTTTAGAGATTACTTCCTCCTGGCTGCTTGGCCTCTAGGTGAACTGTTTAAAATAAAGGGGTGATGATCTGTGCGGGGGTAAAACCCACAGCAGGTGTATCATGGGGGAGTCCCAGGGATGTAAAGCAAGTCCCTGCTCGCCTGCTCCCCTGAGCCGCTTTTGTGTGCATTTGTGCAGGAGTCTCCATGACCTCTGCAGGAACCGCAGGCCGTGGAGACACGGAGCAGCACTGTGCTCCCACTGCCAGCACATGCTCTGCTTTCCTTAGCGACCAAACCAACCCATGTTGGCAGAGGTGTCTGCAGACAGCTGGCTCAGCGAAACCCCTCGGATAGTGTTCTGTGCAAAGCAGCCTGAGCTTTGCTCTTCTCTCCCTCTGTGCTCCCATGGGCTATTGGCAGGGATGTCAGAGTCTGGCTTTTGCAAGCACTCCTTGAACCATTGGGGAGGTGACGGCGTGGGCTGGCGGTGTCTTTCCGCCCTGAAACCCAGGGTGCAGCACTCATCAGAGGTGTGGGGCTCATCAGTGCTGGTGGCAGGCCTGAGTCAGCAGGGAATGGTTTTCCTGCCTCCATCTGCCCCATGCTGGCAGCTCGCAGAGGCCCTCACTGCAGTTCTGCTGAACCCATCTGAATTCTGCCCAGCCTATTCTGGGCTGGGAAACCCCTCAGTGCATTTCTTTCCCCTTCTCATCTTCCCTTTTTCCAGCATCAAACCATCTCACACAGGCGGCTCCCTTTCGCCCCTCCTGTGATGTGTGTGGTTGTGTTCAACATTTCAAACAAAAGCTGAGCAGAAATGAAAGAAAGTACCAGAAAGAGAATAGGTGAGTTCAGGAAATGCAGGTGAGAAGGAAACAGCAGGGAAGAGTGGGAGAAAAAGGGGATGCATTGGGAAAGGTGGTGTGTTCTTGGTGACATTGACATGGGTCAGAGGTAAACTTTACCCTAATGCAAAGGGTATGGAGAAAATGAGAGATCGAGTTCTTTTGGCTCATCAAATTGGCTGAGGTCGTGGCCACGTTTCCTGGTCACTCCTCCCTTTCTCCTATGTGTCCCTGAGCAAAGGAGGAAGGAGGCCAGAGGGTCATGGTACCTCACAAACAGGGTCTGCCGCCCTGCAACAAACAGCTGGAGGAGCTCAAGAAAGGAAGGCAGCCAGCCGTGAGGGGATGGAGAGGGGAAAAAGCAGAGCAAGGTGGAAGCAGAGGGTTTTGCTAGCACAGCCTCACTGCTGTCTATTTGCCCTTGGGGGTTTCACACATGGTCTCCTTGCAATAGCTCTGCGCCATTCTCTGCCAGTGAGGATGAGTCAGACTGGTATCACTGGAGGAAGGGGTGCTGGAAACAGATACATTTGCTTCCGAGAGAGCAACTCATTTTGGAGAAAGAAAGGCAGGATGTGACGGTGTCACATATATCACAAGGAAGGTGATAGCCATCACCAATCATCCAAAGCAAAAGAGATCTTTGTAAGCAGCAGTGGAAGTTGTGCGTTACACGATGTGTGCTGTGTGGGGATTTACAGTTTTGTTCCTCATCTGTGCAGATAGGTGAAAGCTGTATTTTCCATGGGAAGGGGAAAACTGATATCTGTCACGCTGAGGGGACATAGCCGGGAGGATAGCTGGGGGAAGCAAAAACATGGAGATTTTTAGCTCAGAAATGGCTTCATGATCTGATTCATCTGGGGATGAGCCCGTGTCCCCTCTTGGCAGATGGACAGGAGGTATTCTCTTGCCCTTCTTTCTCCTTGCAGGCACATGTGCTGTGGCTCCTTCCCCACCCTATCTTCTGTGTATTTGTGGGCAAAACTGAAGGTGGAGCTGCAGTTTCCACGGGCTTCTTTCAAGGTCGAACCATGACCACTTACAAGAAGCCTTGTGCTGTTCTCTGCATTCGCACAGGAGGTGGCTTCTACCTCCTGGAACAGGCAGTGACAGGAGCTGGGCCCTCACTTTGCCTTTCTGGAGGTTCTCACAGGGTGCGTAAACAGTCAGACTGTGGGATCTGACCATCCCTGGGGATGCTCACGCAGACCTTTGACCTCTGCTTGGTGCACTGGGACAGGGTCTGCTCCCCACTCCTTTCCTCACATCAGCTCCACTCCTTTTTTTGTCTTCTCCAGGGATAGATGCACCTTCCCTGCCGTGGGCAAGGACTGGAACAGGCAGGCAGTATTCTGAGGTCTGGGCTGTGCGGCAGGTGCAGAGCTTCAGCCCAGCAATGCTGCTGGCCTGAGGGAGAGCAGGAGCTGGGAAAATGAAACTCACAGCAGCAGCTGGCATGTGAGGGAGCACCTTTAGCAAAACCCAGAGGTACAATAAACCACTGCACGCTACAACCTGCTCCCATGATTTACAGCAGGACCGGCACCAGCTGTCCCGTGCGCACTGTGGCTGAACAGGTGATGCCATTGGAGTTGAATGGGACAGAACCAGGGCCATGCGGAGTGCTGGGGCTCCTTCCCAGCCCCCCGGGTGCTGCAGAAAGGCGTTGTGAGGCTGCTGGCCCTGCTCCAGGCATGGGTGGTGCCTTTGCTTCCATCTACCCCTTATGGCTTTATTGGACTATTTATTTGCTCGAGGTGAACAGCAGGTAGTTGAGGTTTACTGGTCTGCTTTGCAAATGGTTTGTTTGATAACGGCGGGGTGTTTTATTGCTGCCGGGATGCTGAGCTGGTTTTGAGAGATCCCTTGTGCTGCGCATGGTGTGTGGCACATCCCACCTGGCCGTGCTCTGCAGCAGTGTCCTGGGATCACAGCAGCCCTCTGGGGGTCACAGCAGCTCTGGGCTGGGACTTCAGCACCAATGAGGAACACGTTTTACAGCCACCAGGAGGGAACTGCGAGGCCACTATTCTCCTATGTAATCCAGGATTGCTGCAGGGAAACATCCCATGGAAATGTCCTGACCCTCTGCCCCAGCCCCTGGGATGGTATTTCCCCATAAAGACTTTTGGCTGGCTTGATAGCCCTGGAGGGGCTTTATCTGGGTATGAATAAAAAAAGAGGATTGTTCTCTGCATTTGTTTCTGAGAGATGAAGTCCTGAAGACCTCTTTGTTATCTGCATCAGAAAGGCTTGCAGGGCAGGGAGGAGGGAGTTTGCAAAAGAAAGGCTTTGTAAAAGGGCACTTCTCTTAAGGGAGAAGTTTAGCAAGGGAATTTTCCTGCCGGCCTCCACAACCTCTCAACACTTCCATATTCCAGCTTCTGGCTTTCTGTTCTCTCCTCTGGCAGGTTGCATTGCTGCAGCTCCCCACTAAGCCAGTCAGAGTCCTGTGACTGACCCTGCCCCTGCCCTCCATCCTCCATCACAAGTGGCAGAGGAAATTGCAGCCAGGGCATCTCTGCTGCCACCTGCAAGCCCCTGGCCCTGTGTGGTGTCTGCTTTTGGCACAGCTCCTACCTGGCTTTCCCAGTGCTGCCAGCAAACTGTCTCCTGCTCTGGCACATGAGGGATTTCTGGGAGTTTCACCATCTCCCTCCTGCTAACTTTGCACAGGAAAGGGAAAGCCATCTGCCTGGGGCAGTGCAGGTGCTCAGTGCCATTGTGAGCAGACCTGGAGCGAGGGCAGAAACCAGCACTGCATCACCTTCCCATGGAAAGGAATGTGCCTGGGTGACACTGGAGCCCTGCACATCACCAGAGAGCAGAGCAGGTGCTCAGCTGCACCCTGTTAGTGCTCCCCGTGCTTTATTTGCCTTGTGGGCAGTGTGTTTGTCCAGAGGCACTACCAGGCTGCACCCCTGTTTGCAGAAGGCCCACGGCCGCTGCAGTTCGCAGGGCTTCTGCATTGTGCTGCACAGCTCAGGGAGCCCAAGGGAGAAGCGGCTGATGGGTGAGGTGCCGCGCTGCCCAGGAGATGGCAGCAACTTTCCACAGCCCTGGCTGAGGACACGGGCACTGCTCTGTTATCCCTGCTGCAGCAGGACTTGGGCCAGAGGGACCTGAGGATCCCTTCTACCTCTGCCAGTTTGTAGTTTTGCATCCCGGCCAGGCACGGATAGTTCTGGAGGTGATTAGAGTCAGAGGAACATGGCAGAGAAAGGACATGGCTGCAGCTCAGTGGTGTGAGATGCCCACAGCTCCCATGTTGTCCGTCTCCACATTTCACGCTGGGGTGTGCCGTGTTCAGGGCAGCTCTGAAGGGTGCTGCGGTTGGGTCTATAAATCAGGCTGGGGCTGAGCTGACCTCTTTTGATCTTGCGGCGGTGGGAAGGGCTCTTTGAGTTGTTGTGGCAAAGGTATAGGGGAAATCTGGGCTGGGGGAGGAGGGAGGAAGCAAGAGGGATTTGTATGCGTGAGGTGAGCCAGGGACTGCAAGGTGAGCAGTTTGGTTGGCTCCAGGTCAGCTGCAGCTGCAGTGTGGGGTCTGGGTGAAGGTGTCTGCAACTTCATTCCAGAAAGGCAGCTTCCACCTTTCTGGGTCTGTTTGTTTATCCCTGCTGCCTCTTCACTGGAGATTCATCCTTCTGAATTTGCCAACAGGAAGGTGACCTCTGGTGCGATGAGGAAGGAGAGAGGATGTGTCCTATAGGAGTGGTTTAATCATCACTTTCTACTGGCATTTGGAGATTTCCTATTTAATCAGTAATGAAAGTGCCTGGCAATTAATTCAGTAGGGCTCTCAGTGCCCTAAGCACTGCAGTGTTGGTTCTGCACAGACCTTCCTTACTTTCATTCCTTTTTGAGGAGTAATAAAGTTGCTGTGATTAATTGCAGAAGATACAGATTTCTTTCCAGGTTCCCCATGGCAAGTGAGACTCCTTGGTTTTAAACTTGGATGCGTGCACTTTGTGATAGGCAAACTGGCGGTGCCGAGTGGGGAGAAGGGAAAATAGGGGAGGGCAAATATTAAAAATCTTTGCTTGGGTTGGAGATTCAGCACTGCCTTGGC